TTTTCTCAGAAGGCGACAAATAATATCTTTCATTCATTTTCCTAAAACCAAAATCATACCAAAATAGTTTGTTTTTAGGTATAACAACCAGCTTTTTTTCAATTTTGGAATCATCCTCTCGATTTTTTTTAGCCTTTAGCTTTTTTTTTTTATGTATATGTCTGATTAACAACTTCGTTGAGATGTCACGTGTAATATACATCCTTACTAAGAACTTTTTTTTGGAACGACAAATCTAATATAATCCTAAACCACTCCTAGTTCACCTATGTCTCAAACAAGACTTGAACATTCGACCTCAAGAAAAGAGGATAACATATGATACTGTTAGGCTAGAAGTCATTTGGTGATGCTTACTAAGAACAACTTGATTGAGAAAACACGTCGTTTTACTATAGTAATTATAAGCTTCAAACTTTGATTTAATCCTATTGCAGAATCATCTTTTTATTACTATAATAATTAGTTCAATATTTCAAAACAAATGTCTTACTAAAAAAGTTAGAAAAAAAAATATATTTAAGTCGAAATTCAAAAGTGTACAATAAATATGAGATATATGAAATATAATATAAATTTTATCCTTTTGCATCACTAACATCTCATGTTTTGAAAACCGAACCAGACTGACCGGTTCAATGGGGAACCGAGCCTGGCTCTGGTTCTTAGAGGACAAAAACCGTTTGTCATGTGAATCGATGAAAACCGGTCCGATCGAACCAGTAAAAATCGGGAATTTTAACGGTCGAACCAGTAAAACCCGGTTCAGTTCGACGGGTAAAAAGGGAAATTTTCAAAAATATATTTTTTTGATATTTTGTACATTTTATATGATTAAAATTAATAATAATATAATTATAACATTATCCGTTTTTTTTTTTTCGGTTTTTAAGACCGGTCGTCGGAACAATTAAATTATCAAACCAGTAAGATAGCCAGTTCGGTCCCCGATCCAGTTTTCAAAACCTTGCTAACATCTCACAGGAAGCTCCCTACAAGTTGGATAATGCTCATATGGATCTCAATTTTGACATTTTAAAACATTACTTTTGATATTCATACATCCTATCTAATAAATGAATGTATTTTTATCACTTTTCACACTCTCATTCAATTTGTCAAATGTTATTTTTTTCATATAATATTTAATGTAATAATTGCAATAAATATAGTAATAAATTGATATCAATTTTATTAATAAACTTACTTTTTAATTTCAAATTTTCCAAAATTAAAGCTCATTAGTTTCTTTATTTATTTAAATTATTTGTTTAAATTTAAAAGATAAAAAACATTTTCATTATAATAATTTATTATTTTTCTTATTTTTTTATAAATTCAAAGTTATTAAATATTTTGACATATATACTTAGTTTTTTATTTTTTTCAAATTAACTCATCTAATACATGCGTTTCACAATTAGTAAACTCAAAATAACCAAATATAGATTACTAAGAAAATCAACACAATCAGTAAACCAATTTTGATCATTTTGAACCACTTTTGACATTCTTCTTTTGACCCATCGGAACAATACTTCTTCAAAACACACCTAACCATCCGAAATTTCAATCAACAAACATAATATCACCAAACTTCTATAAACAAATCCATCCCATAATCCAGTCGATGTTTCAGATCAAACACTTGACAAAAAAAAATTATTGTGTTCTTGAGGGTTCTTTCAACAACATATCTTACAAACCACATAAATGAGTAATTTTGAGATAAAGCCAAGATTAGAGTCTAACAGCATCAATTCGTCCAGAATCATCAAATACAACCCAACTCATCAATATCATCGTCATACCCAAAATATTTGCCAAAATTGTGAATGAGCTCAACTAATTTGCAAAACTCATCCACAAATAGCAAATCGTTCCACACCCATAAGCTTTTTCATATCGAAATCAATTATTATCCAAAACATCATTATCGATCTCCTCAATAACTCGAACGTAGTATTCTTCTTCAATCGATTGATTATTAATATCCAAATAATTTTCCAGAACAAACATAATGTTCAATTGTCAGCAGAAGAAGATCAAGAATGAGTTTGAATATTCGATTAAGAGTGTAAATCGAGAAAAGAAAGTGAAACAAAAGATGTGAATCAATATGTCGTACAAAACGAGAACAATCAGATAATGCCATAATGGATCTAATTGGTGTACGTCTTGAAACTGGACGGTAAATAGTATTGTATCTAATGATTGGGCCATGGACTTAACAAATGAATTGGATCAAAATTTGAGCTATATCAATTACAAATTAGCATTTGGGACTTAACATATCAAATATAGTAACACAGATATAATAACATTGATTCCATGAGATCTTACTAAAAATCGATTGAATTACATAGAATGTCAAATCATGAACCGTTCAATATGGTTTGGATATAGTACCACTTGCTAAGACTTTGAATGTTTGATTTGTCATGCATAACAATAATAATAATAATAACTAGTAAACAGGTCGCGGCTACGCTGCTTTTGAGGTATTACGGGAAAATCGGCAAAATTTAAAAGATATGTGCTGAAATTGTAAATCACCACAAATAGAGGAGAAAGTCGATAGTCCTTAAAACTAGATGTCAAAAGTGTACAACCAAAAGAATGGACACTGCTGGAGAAAATTCACAAATATTGTGACAATAATATTAAAAGTGTACAACCAAAAGAATGGACACTGCTGGAGAAAATTCAAAAATGTTGTGACAATAATGTTGAAGTTACCAAAGTTGGGAAAATATGGTAACAAAATTCAAAAGGAGGTTTCTTTTTCTTTTTTATGTCAAAATGGAAAAGTTTTTAGTACAAGAACGAAAAATATCAAATTCATAAAAGATTTGTGGCAAAAACATCAAAAATGTAAAACTTTTTCCTGTAAGGACTAAAAGTGTCAAACTCACCAAAAGGTAAAAAAAATCAATCAAAACACAAAAATATAAAAGTTTTGAATTTAAGGACGAAAAATGTTATATACACCAAAGATTTGTGGTAAAAACCTAAAGCTAAATAAATAACTCAACTCACAACTCTCAATGATTACATCCCTCCCTCATGCACATCTAAATAAATAACTTCACCCAGGAATCTTTTGAGTCTTCTCTTGTTATCTTCCATGTAGATCAATTGGGCAACCTTAGGAATATTTTTGATATGTCAAGATTTGAATCATGGACCCCTATGTAGCTTCCACTCCTAAACCGTTGGGCTCCGATCGCTGGAGCTTTGGTTGTTTTTGTCCATGAAATTCTTTTAATTTAATCAATTGAAGGTTGAGGTTGTAGACTATCATTGTTTAACCTCACAAAAATCCTTAAATAACACGTTAGGATTGTTTTTTTCTATAAATATTAACCAGTTATATACATAATGTGTAGCTGTCCCTCATCAACCAGGTTTAAGTGAATAAATCAAAAACACAAGGTTAGTGAAATTACATAATGGTCCTTGTTTAAAACAAAAATTATAGTAATGGTCCTTGTGTAAGACAAAGTTATAGAAATAATCCTTATCTAACAAGGAAATTACAGAATTCGTCAATGAGATTATGGAAATGATCATTGTGTCTGACAACATACACTAATGCTCTCAATCGGTGTAATAGCGGAACTTACAAATGGTATCGAAAATATAAAATTAATAAACCCATTGCAACCCTCGGATCATCCACACTAGTTATGAAGAAAAAACTAGCTAATAGGGGCAATTACAAATTATGAAATGGTCCACGTGTAATTTATGCTAATAATAAACAAAGCTTATATTGGGTTGGGTTAAGGGATTTAAGGAACAAATTGATTTATGATTTGCAAAAATAATATTGGTATTTCATCCAAAAAAAAATTATTAAATGTACATGCTTAGATTGAATCGAAGCTTGTGTAAGCTAAGCGCTCCAAATATGATGTGTCGCCTTTGTAAGTTAACTGGTCCATATACGATGCTTTGTAGTTTGTCTGATGAGATTTTCTCCATCCACAAGTGTGATATTATTATTAATTTGCAGCTTTTTAATGATGACGAAAAGCATGATCAGCTCAAAGACGAAGTTACCTTTATGGGGATTCGTATCACCAACTAACATATTTAACCAATCAGGCATTTATTAATGAGGATCTTAATTCCAGCCTTTGCATGCCACTCATGCTCCAATATCTTTACCACATAATCATCATATTCACCAACAAAGAAAAAAGCAATATACAAAAACAACTCTTTGTTAGAGGCATGTGGTAATGAGTCAAATCTCTTTTGTAGTATACCTTGAATTTTACAATCAGAATCTCCTTTCAACAAATTCAATGAACTTCTCCAAACTTCTATCATGCTATTTTTTCCTAACACATCAACAAATAGAGAATAACCTAGTACTTTAAGAGCTAGTGGGCTTCCACCCTTTAAGAGCTAGTGGGCTTCCACCACAATACTATGCTAATAGAACTGCAAGCTCCTTGAAATCTTCCATAGGCGTCTTGAATCCAAATGCATTGGCGACTTAAAAGCTCTAATGATTCATGAACATTCAGCAATTCAAGTTCATGCATCCTACAACTCCAAGATATGGACCTAACCCATGAACATATATCTAAATGCCTAGTTGTTATTATGATCTTGGTTTGTGCATGAAAAGCGATTGTTCCAAGTAAAGCGCTTAATTAAGCATGTTCATCAATGTCATCAAGAACAATAAACACATTTTTCACTTGTAATGCCTCCTCAACACTCCTTGTACCTTCAGATACACTAAATATACTCACATTCTTTCCCCGTAGAATGTCTCTAAGAAGTTGTTTCTGTAGCCCAAGCAAACCATCTGATTGTTTATAATGCTTTCCAATCTCTTCAAGGTAACTGCTACTTCCAAATTTTTACTTGTTTGAGTTGTAAATGAATTGGGCCAGTGTCTTTCCAATACCACCCATGCCACAAATTGCTAGAGCATTATCCCCAGATTGCTCGTTTTCCAACAAAGAGTTGATAAATCTAGCTCAAGAATCCATTCCTATTAGATTAGCTGGAGTAGCTAGTTTCATATCTAGTTTATAATTAACTATATCAGCAATTTTTGCAATAAAGTCTACTTCAGAGTCTTCAGACCTGTGTGAAAAGAATAAAGAAAATAAGCACAAGGGTGAGAATGGCATAAGTGACAGAAAATATATTTCTCCGATCAAATGAAAATTTCAATCATACAAACTGTTGAAAGTTAATCTAGACTAAGGTTTACTTCGAATTTATTACGGTTAATTTGGCAATTATAGTTAGGCAGCAGTTAAATTATTACCCACAAATGAAAGGTTGCAACAATTTGTGAAGGGGTGTCTTCTTAAGAGGCACATTAGTTATTGGTTGTGATGGCTTCATAGGCTACATGTGTATGTAATATGATGTAAAATGTTGTTGTTACAAGTAATTAACAAAACTTCTGTTTTGTTACACAAGAAACTCTCCTGTTCTATCTTGTCTTCAATGTAATTTCTCCAACACAAACACAAAAACACACATGTAAGCATGTAATTACTTGGTTCTGCTCTTTGCAGTTTGCATACATTCAAAGCAATATAAGCAAAAGAAGAGACATGATGCTTGCATACCTGAATCTGATCATTAGTTAGGAACAAATTACGATTCCTTATCAAATTAAGGTCCACAACAATTAAACAAATCAGTATTGGATCCTGGTTGCGTTATTTTTAAAGGATTAAACTTTAAGCATGAATAGAGAAAGAATACCCAGAAGCAATCATTCCGATCAAATCAGCAACTTCTGTAAGGGCTCCCTTCCATCGATTGACTTTATACTCTGTCCGTTGTGACCCTTTGTCAACTTCTATCTCAAAATTTCGTCTGTGGTTCCTGACATCTGAGGGATTGACATGGTAAAAAATCGGTAAAACGAAATGATTAAAGCTCAACCTTTGCTCAAGGATCGGCAGAAGCTCGTCAAGGCAACATCTGGAATTCGCATATCTCTCTCCGACAATACAATTATGGAAGCCCTAGATTGTGTGATTGCTCTCTCGATTTCCGGCGTCAGTTCTTGACCTCTTTCGATATTATCGTTATCCCTAAAAGTGCGAAGTCGTGCTCGAACTATTAGGGTGTCTTTGGGCTTTTTAAACATAAGTGCTAAGTGGGTGGAACATGTAAAAGTTTTTTGGGAATATGACTTTGGAAGGAAAGGTAATTAATTTTTCGGTATGTTCGTATCTGGGTAACTATCTTTTTTTTTACGAATTTTTTAGAAGTGTTCACATATGACCATTATGATCTGCTATAGCAGGTTAAATCCTAGATGTGAACGTTTTCAACAAGTTTGTTACCTAGATACGTACAAAAAAAATAATTACCCAAATATGAACATAACGAAAAGTAAAAATTAAATTACATGAATGGTCCCTGTGGTTTGGGGGAATTTGTGGTTTTGGTCGCTAACTTATTTTTTTTAACTTAAATAGTTCATACTGTTTATTTTTGTTGCGTATTTGGTCCCCGTCTTACCTAAAAATACTATTGTGCCATTATTAATTTTTTTTAATTAATTTTCTTATCTATGTATTTATTTTTTACATATTTAAAAAAATTAATAGACCACACATATTTGTATCTCCTCGAATGATCCCTACTATTTATTTTTTAATTAATTTAATTTTTTAACTCGGATGGTCCCTACTATTTAATTTTGTTACGAACTTGGTCTATGTCTTATCTAAAAAGACTATTGTGTTCTTATTAATTTTTTTTAATTAATTGACTTGTTTATGTACTTATGCTTTATATGTTTAAGAAAAATTAGTAGACCCCATATATCTATATATCCTCACCATCTCATCTTTCATCATTCTCAACTTCTATTTATTTTTCATCTTTAGTGATATCGACGTCTTCATCATCACTTCTTTTTTCGATCCTTCAACTCCGTCGAATCAACACCACAACTCACTAAAGATGAAGAGACAGTAGGTTATGGTGTTGGTTCGCCAGAGTTGAAGTACCAAAAAAAGGACGGTGAAGACGTTGATGTTACTAAAGATGGAAAAGAAATAGAAGATGGGGATGATCAGAGATGAGATGGTGAATGGTAAGACTCAAATTAAATGTTTCAAATGTGGTTTCAGGTTTACGGTGATGAGATACATATATATGGGGTATATTAATTTTTTTATAAAAAATAAATACATAAATAAGAAAATTAATTAAAAAAATTAATAAGGGAAAAATAGTATTTTTAGATAAGACAGACACCAAACGCGTAACAAAAATAAACAGTAGGGATTATCCGAGTTAAAAAAAAAATAATTAAAAATAAACAGTAAGGATCATCCGAGGAGATACAAATATGTGTGGTCTATTAATTTTTTTAAATATGTAAAAAGTAAATACATAGATAAGAAAAATAATTAAAAAATAAATTAATAAGGGCACAATAGTATTTTTAGGTGAGACGGGGACCAAACGCGCAACAAAATAAATAGTAGGGATCATTTAAGTTAAAAAAATAAGTTAGCGACCAAAACCACAAATTCCCCCAAACCACAGGGACCATTGATGTAATTTAATTTTTAATTTTCATTTTGTTCATATTTGGGTAATTATTTTTTTTGTACACATGTAGGTAACAAACTTGTCGAAAACGTTCACATCTAGGATTTAACCTGCTATAGCAGGTCATAATGGTCATATGTGAACACTTCCAAAAAGTTTGTTACCTAGATATGTACAAAAAAAAGATAATTACCCAGATGTGAACATACTGAAAAGTTAATTACCTTGATAAGTCTTATTATTTTTGGTAAAAACATTTTAAAATTTATTTTTGGATTTTAAATATAAAAATGATTATTTTTTGGAAAGGTCAGAAAAATCTGATATTTTATAATTTTTTCAAAAATTTTTTTTACGATAAATCAAACACTTTCTAAAAGTCTTTTTATATAGGTTTTTTGTAAAAGAACGTTTTCTAAAATATTATGTTTAAAATGTGTTTGACTTGTTTTTTATGATTTTTAAATAATAAAATTTAAAAGTCACAAAAATATAAGAATTTCTATCTTTTTTTCCAACCGATTTTTCTTTCTCGACTAAAAGTTGATTTTAAAAGATCTTTTCAATTTGTCAAACAATTTTTAGTAATTTTTAACTTATTGAAAAAGTTCAAATTTAAAATATTAAAAATGTATCTCAAGCACCCTATAAGAGGTTGTTTATAAATTAAGGGGTTGTTGGAATTCCTTTTTAAACCCAAAATTCTTTTTAATTTTTTTTTTCTTAAATGTTTTTTTTAGAAAAATGAAAATTAGACAAAATTACACAAATAATCCTCGTAGTTGACAAAATCGACAAATTATGGTCCTTATGACGATTTTTTTGCAAAGACGGTCCTTTTGACTAACGTTGTTAACTTTTTCAGTTAAATCCTATGTGAAATGACATATTTGTCATTCCTGCATATCGACAATTTATGTAGTTTGTTCAATTTTGGGGGTTGGTGACTTCATCTAAAACTCTCTCATACTCACAAGTTCAAGTTCAATTTTGGGGGTTGGTGACTTCATCTTGTAATATCATCACAGTGAATATAATAGAAAGAATGCAAGCATCATCACTACACGTAAAATAATACAACAATACTGAGTTTACATCCTTATAATTATTTACAAGAGTTACATCCCAAAAATACAAATGTTTATAATAGCAACAAAATGCCACAAATTTCCACATATTCTTGATGCTCACTTGTTTAACGATTTCCTGAGAATACAAGTTATTTGAAAACGTCAACATATATAATGTTGGTGAGTTCATAAGTATGTTTGAATGAAAAGTTTTGTATCATATAGTAAACACCAGAAAATCTGATATTATCTGTAAAAATGGTTTATAAGTTTTGTGTACAATCCCGTGTTAAGGCATGTGTGTTTTTGTTTGAAAATGTATAAAAAGTATTTCAGAAATCCCATACTTCCTGTTGTAAGTAGAAGGTAATGTAAAATTGCATGTTTTCCCAGATCCGATATTTTCTATTTATAAAAGTATTGTAGCCTTAAAACCCTAAGATCGTGTATCGGTGTATGTATGTTTTTGTATTATCAAAATGGTATATGTATTCTGTAAATTTGGAATGGAGTTATTCTCTATGTGAGTCGTTATAACCATACTTGATAATGACTGGTTTGCCTTTCTTGATGTTTTTCAGGCACCGACTTGTTTAAGGTAAGGTTTGTCACCCTAGACTGAACTAGTCTAACTATAGCGAACAACTCATGTGTGGGGGAGTCATCCCCGTATAGATCTATACACAAACTCTTGCTCTCCCTCCAGGAGACTCTGGTTATAACTACAGGCTACGGCTATACACTCGATAGGTGTCAAACGAAATGTCTCACAAGAGCCTTAACTGAATTTACGTGAATATTGAATTGCACAGAGTAATATGGTTTCCGTGTATGTTTTTAGTTTATTAGGCCCAACAAGCATGTAAATGGACCACAAAGACCCAAACAACATGTAATGTATATTCCAGGCCCAATAAACATGTAATTGGACCACAATGGCCCAATAGACATGTAGTGGGTGTTCTAGGTCCACTTAAACATGCAAATGGGCCAATAAGGCCTAATAAGCATGTGAGGTATTTTTCGGCCCAATTAAAAGTGTAAGTGGCGTATTTGTTTTGTTTGTTATTATGTTGATCATTTAAGCTCAATTGTTTACCAAAATGACATAAAAGGCCCACTTTTTGTAAAAATACATTTTTGGTCCATAAAACCCAAACTTTACAATTAAGGCACGTTGTTGGTAAAAATGACACTTTAGGTCCCTTACGACCAAAAGCTTACCTTTAAGGGCTTGTATCAAATACAATAACCTTTTTAGCCAACTTATGTCAAATATAACATTTTCGGCCCAATTTTTATGAAATTTTACATTTTCGGCCCAAATGCATAGAAAATATCTTTTTCGGCCCAAGTTTAAATAAAATTGTCATTTTTAGCCCATAAATCCGAAAAATAACATTTTTGCTCAAATTTGTACAAAATGACCATTAAGTCCACAAAAGTCAAAAAATTTCCAAAATTAGCCCATGAAGTTGTGAAGGCCGAATTTGAGGCCCATTTTGTGAAAATTTACACTTTTGGCCCTTCTAAAACCATGAATATTATAAAGACTCATTTTTATTTAAAATGACTCTTTTAGTCCTCTTAAAACCGTGAGTTGACAAAAAGATCCTCACTTTTGTTTATTTTGTTAGTTTTTGGCCCTTTACACGATTTTGCTTAGTTTCAAACATCCTTAACATGTTTTTATTCTTTCATCTTCATCATAAGCTTCATAAGGTGTTTTAGTTTACAAATATCACCATACTTTAGTAGATCTTTCGAAATCTAAAATGTTTCAACACATAAGCACAACATCTAACATGGAAAACACATATAATCATGCATAAACACATAGATCTACACAAATGCAGTGTGTATCGTCCCCCAAAACATAGTAAAAACCAAAAATAGGGGTATGAACTTACTTTGGGGTTTGAATCGGTTTTGATGAAGAGATATGAGAGAGATTTCGGCCTTAGCAAGCTCCTTTGAATAGATCTCGAACTTATGGGGTTTCTAAGGAACATGGATCATGAAATGAAGTGTTAGGAGAAGTAAGTTTAACATGAACATGAAGTTAAACCTCTTAAGTGGAAGTAACCTACCAAGATGAGTGGATTTTTGGATGAAGTGCTCTTGAACTCACACACTAGCACACACGAATATTAAAGAGGGAAAGGAAGGATTTTCTTGAAGTTCTTAGAGGAATATGAGAGGAATTATAGTATGTGTTTCAAGTTGAAGTGAGAGTGGTGGTGGGTTGTGATTCTCAGTCATAAATAGAGAAGAAAGAGGAGAGAGGATCAAACTGGTTAATACATGATGGTTTAGAGTATAGATGCTTAGTTATATATGAATTACTTTACCTAGATTACCATTAAGTAAAGATGAGGTGTCAAAGTTTTGTTCAAATGAGTTTCTCTTTTTTTATTATATAAATTGAGAATGAGAAGAAAGGGTGAAAGAAAAGAGTATTTTGGGTTTATATTGAATGTGCTTTAAATTATAGGCCTAATATGAAGGT